TTTGTGCGGGAAAAATGGCTCACAGTAAGGACCTGTTTGAGTGCTCCATCTGTACACAGTTACTGAATGATCCAGTGACTACTACCTGCGGACACAGCTTCTGTGTGAAATGCATCTATACCTACTGGGATACCAAAAGAAACAGAAGGAGAACGTATAGCTGCCCTCTGTGCAGAGAGACTTTCAATGAGAGACCTGTTCTTAAGAGGAACACCATCCTGGCTAACTTGGTAGAGGAGTTTAAGAAGAAGGCAAGCAGCCAGGGTGCTGCTGCGGATGCTGCTGCACCTGGGGATGCGCAGTGTGACATTTGCACGGAGAGAAAACGTAAAGCTTGCCTGTTCTGTCAGGTGTGTTTGGCCTCTTACTGCCAGACTCATCTGGAACCTCATTTTATTGTACCGCCTCTTAAAAAACACAGACTGATCACAGCTTCTATAAATATCAAAGAAAGCATCTGTTTCCGTCATGACAAACTTCAGGAGCTTTACTGCCGCACCGATCGGCAGTTCCTGTGCCTCATGTGTGCGGTGGATGAACACAAAGACCACGACATTATATTAGCTGAAACAAAAAGGCAAGAATTGCAGGTAATATGCAAATAAATATATTTATTTAATTATTTTTTGATGATGTCATTTGCTGTTTTTATTGTAATTATGATATGTTTCTACATGTCTGTCTTAACAGAGCCATCTGGAAAAGACCAAAGAGAAAATTGCAGAAAGAGTGGTGATTTCAGAGAAGTTGATGGATGCTGCTCGCTCCATACGAGTAAGGATTTTTCTTTTATGCCTTGTTTTCTTTATTGTTAGATCTTGTTATAAGGCGGCGTCTACACTAATCCGGATAAATCTGCAAACGGCGTTGTCGTCTAAAAACGCTCCGCGTCCGAACTATCGTTTTCTACGCTACGTTCATGTACTGCGCATGCGTGAAACGTAAGACGATTCGACCTGCGTCATTTCTGTCTGCCGTTTATTTACTTTCCGGTTGTTGTGCCAAAAAGTGATTACCTGCCAAAAACTGATTTCCAATGTTTCCGTGGGTTTTTATGTGTAATATCGTTACGTATGTTGCCAGATAGACCTTGGAGAACAGGTATTACATAGGGGTTATATATAAAATTAAAAAATTACATGTTTCTCATAAATCTTTGTAACTGTGTCATTGTACTTATATTATAATCCATCGGCTCCTTTTTGTCCACTTAAATATGTTTACAGAACTATTTTTGCATTTGTTGCAATTTCAGCTGTCCTCTTGGCCAGATTACTCTTAAAGGAGACATTTTTAAAGTCAACAAGAAATTTTTTAACTGCATAAATAAAGAATAAATAAAAGTCACTGTCAAAAACTGATTGGGGCTTCTACCTTGTTACAGGAATGTTGTTTGTTGCTCAAGATGACTTGATATCATTCATGAGGGATACATTTGACATATGTTTCACATATTATAGACCAACAAGTTATTTATAGGAGTTTAAATACAAGCAATCAGTTTTTGGCAGACAATCACTTTTTGGCACAACACCGGCTCTTTAAAATGTCGCGGCAAAATGTCGAGGAAAAGTGCCGAGTTTTATCTGGGGCTATGTAGAGCATGTACAAATGGATTTAGTTATGCGTCTGAGGTAGGTTTGGGTTGGGGGGTCTAGACTGGGAACTCTTACTGGATACTGTTTTTGGACCTATTAATCCAAAACAAGTTTGATGCAGAAGGGCTCCAGCTCCTCCAACCCATCTTCTTCCCCTCAAACTGCCGCACATTCACCTATTCCTGCGAGAATTCACCACTGTAATCGATAGTGTTGCATGCATAGAAGAAGTCAGTGAGTGAGTGTGACTTGTTTATTTGGCTTGGATCACTATTGTAACAGTCATAGCAGGCAAATAGTATGTGTTTCCTACAGGACGCTGCCTGGGAGGCGTGTGATGACTTTGAGCGGGTCTGTATCCAGTGGTACACCCACTTCCTGAGGAAGAAGTGCTCTGAGATGAGAGAGAAAGTTGGAGAGGCTGAGAAAGCTGGAGTGGACTGGACCGAACACCACCTCGGGCAGCTGAAGCGTGAAGTGTCTGAGTTAAGGAGGAGAGAGAGTAAAATCTGTCAGCTTTCACAAACAGAGGATCCCATTCAGTTTCTTCAGGTTATGGCTGCTTTTTGATACTTTAGGCTTATGTCTCATTTTCTATCCAGTTTGTGAGGTTAAATATTAATATTAATGTTTCCCTGTGCAGGGCTTCCAAACCCTGGGTGACCTCCCTGTGCTCACAGACTCACACAGAGAGCTTGACAACTTGACAAAGTTCGTCACTGCACAAAAGAATAAAATGAAAAAGATGAGCAACGAAGAAAAAAGGGATCTGACGGATTATTCTGGAAAAATCATCAGTAAGTGTGATCATTTGGGATCATTTGAGATTTTTAAACATCATAACTGTGGTCTCACCTTATTTACTTAAAAACTATGCTTTTTGTGTTTTTCCTTACAAGTGTCAAGAAGGACAAGGCCGCAGGAGGGACGGACAAGGACAGAACTTGTGATGAAATATAAGAGTAAGCATGATGTTAATGACTACAGACATATTTGAGAGCTTAAGCGAGTCCTTCGTAATCAATGAGTTTTTCATTTTCCCTGCAGACTCCAAAATCGAGGTGGATCCTGACACTGTAGCAGCTTGTCTTTACCTCTCTGATACAAAGAAAGAGATATCATGGTGTGACAAGGACCAGGCTCATCCAGATCACCCTGACAGATTCACATACTTTTACCAGGCTTTGTGTAAAAAGGGCCTCAGAGGAAACCACTACTGGGAGGTGGAGTGGGATGGTGGCATAGTTGAGGTGGCTGTGTCGTACAGAGGGATAGGAAGAAAGGGTTCAGGGAAAGATTGCTGTTTTGGCCACAATGCTCTGTCCTGGAAATTAATCTGCTCTCCTTCTGGTTGCACGTTCTGGCACAATAATCTTCACAAAGGTCAAATTCCTCCGGCTGTCTCCCGCAAAGTAGGGGTACACCTTAATTATGAAGAGGGAACGCTGGCTTTTTACAGCGTATCTGGAGTTGAAAGTTTGACACTGCTGCACCAAATCCAGACAACCTTCACCGAGCCCCTCTATCCCGGGTTTTCTGTGGATCTTGGTGCAACACTGAAAATAAGCAACATCTGAGATCGTGCACAGTTTCCAATGTTAATGTATTGATCGACAAAGTGATAAAATGATCTCTGAGTCCTCTTTTCCTAGTAAAAAAGTGAAGAATCAAAGAGGCCTTTATATCCACATATAGACTCATGTCATAATAACAAAGTCATATTTTTCTTAGCATTTTTTGACTGTCATAACTTTATACAAGAGCCCAGAGTCCCATAAAATTTTCACCACTAAAAAAAAATTTGGTTTAAAAAAATTAAACCAAATAAAATGTATATCTTATTTGTTGTTTATGTTTAGGATGATTTCTTTTCTATAACCAACTTTAAGCGTCAATATTAGGAGACATATCATCGTTTAAACAACAGAGCTGTAATAGTTCAGTGTCAATTATGCATTAACAGAAACAAGGACGGTACCTTGGATGCTTTGTCCTTTTTTCCTGATAATTCACTGGAGAAACCTTCACAAAATTACATATAGTTATATAATGTTTATTTACTATTTGTATTGAAATTTATCCTGATATAA